GAAAAAACACAATGCAAACTTTGTCTAAAGATGAAAAACAAGACACTAACACCAAAATGATCTTAACCACAAGTAAGAGCAAACCATGATCTGGATCTAGATCTAAATCTCAAAGTTAGGTTCTTCCAAAGCCTAACATCAGCAATAACAACTTGATCTACTCCACACTTACAAAACCACTTCAAAGAACTTCAAAAAATATTCAAGCAAATGTGAGTGGGCCCATAACCTATTGAAGAAAAGAAGTCTAAAAGCTACAAACACTTAGTATCAACAAGGATTGAAGTCTAAGAAAAGTGTGGAGAAAGATGATTCTTACTTCCAACACTCTTTATTTATAGGTGGTGGTTTGCTCACCAATGAGGTAACTTCCATCTTTTTGATATTACATCCATTTCTACCTCATCCAACTAAACCTTTGATGCTACCACAATAACTTACTTTAACTCTTTGCTACCTTTTTACTATTAGAAACATACTACGCTTAATCTCTATGTAGTTGTAACTAAGCAAAACTTGCTGATCTTCAACAACAAACACCTTTTTTTGTCAATTATGGTTACCATCCATGACTTGATACTTTTGACTTTTCAAAAGTTGATAATCTTGAGGCAAAAGATTTGGCAATTCATTTGTCAAAGCTACATGCAATAATAAAGGCACAATTAGAAGAAGCTGAAGAACAACAAAAGATTAATGCGGATGTCTATCGAAAGGAACAACTACCATTCTACATGGGTGACAAGGTATGGTTACTTTGTTGCAATAGAAAGACCACTCATCTTTGTGACAAGTTGGACTATCAAAGGGCTTGGACCGTTTTCTATTTCTGCACAAATCAATCCAGTTGCATATCGTTTACACCTACTAGAGTCGATGAAAATCCATCCAATATTCTATGTGTCTCTTCTTGAACCATACAAGATAGTGGACATACCAAAAAAAAAACAAGCTCTACCTCCTCCTATAGAAGTAGAAAATAATGAAAAATTCGAAGTGGAAGAAGTCTTAGATTCAAGGCGGCATCGAAATAAATTGGAATATTTTGTCCATTGGCGCAGATATGATATTAGTGAATGCACATGGAAGCTAGTAAAGAATCTTGCAAATGCAGCAAAGGCAATGGAGGCTTTCCATCGACAATATCCATCAAAATTAAGATGAAAACCTTCCTTATAAAAGAAACAAGATCTAGGCAAGATAACATTCTACTTTCAATCCTTGTTTGTAGCTTCTTTGTAGTTGTGACACTGAGGAGATAGAGAACTAACAACCAACGGATTCGATTCAAGAGCCTTCGTTTGTTGACCTACCGAATAAGACATTACGATTGTCACAACCTTCAAGACGACAAAATCAAGATGAAGATCTTCAAGAATGACATATTCTTTCTTGAATAGATGGTAAGATACAACACATTTGATATCACGATCTTGGAAGGGACTCCCGATGTTTGGTGATTTTACTAGAGGTAGGAACAATTTCTGATGGTATTTCAAATGTTTTATTCAAAGGAAGTTATGAAGGCCTCAACAAAGATTTAATAACTGGGTGGTCTTTTCACCCTGGTATGGGACACTATCGATGGTTGAGAGGCCCTATCAATCATCTTTGAAGAGAACAAAGATCAGAGTATGTGGCGAATACAATTCGTTGCATCATAGATTTTCTCAACATATGATGACCGCTCTTTATGGAACTCGTCCCTAGAAAGGAAGGTAATGTCATAGACATAGACATGTAAGCCAGTAATTACATATATAAATAGATAGAAATAAGTAAAAGTAAGTAAAAGTAAGTTAATTCGATAATATTTTCTATGAAAACTTCCTATAAGCTTTATAGACACTTCTTTGATTTTATAAGTATCTTTAATTGACTTTTTGGATTAAAAACTTGGTCAACAAGTTGGCCATGTGCCACACATATTGTTAGCTTGAAGACCAAGCTAACTATGTGGGCCACTTATAGAAAAACTTGCCTTATAAGTCAAGGCATGTGTCCTATAAAGTCAACACATATTAGAGGTCCTATAGAACATTGCCATGGAGCCCTTAGTTAGGTAGTATATATAGAGACAAGAGTGAAGCCCTCTTCACTGTTGTCAACTTCTTTCTTACTTCTAATCTAGTTTCAAGGGTCTCTAGTATTCTTGTCTTTTGACAATAGCCATTCCAGTTTCTTTCTTAATATACATATTAAATTATTTCTATTTTGTCATCTTTCTTTGAGAGAAGTCTCACTTGTTTATTTATCTTTATCAAGTTCTTGTCCTTGACAATAGGTCAAAAACTTGATCAACAAGTTAACCACATGCTATACATGTTGGTGGCTTATAGAACAAGCAAGTTATGCGGTATACATATAGAAAACTTGCCTTGCAAGTTAAGATATTTATTTAGCAAAATCAACATATATATTGAAGGTCCTATAGAATATCACCATATAACTCATAGTTGGATAATATATATAAAAGCAAGAGTGGATTCTTCTTCACTCTTGTCAATGTCTTTTTAATCCTTAGTCTTATTTCAAAACTTTTTAGTCTTCTTGTCTTTGGCAATAACCATTTTAGTTCTATATATTATCATCTTTGAGTGATTTTTTAGTCTTTTCAAGTGAGACAAGAGCGTATCAAGCTTCTCTTTTTATAAGTTTCATGTCTTTGATACAAAGTCAAAGATTACAACTTTTAAATGTTTAGTTGGTTGAAGTTAAAAAACTTCCTTGAATTGGCTTTTACACTTTAAAAAATAAGTCCACAGTTCTCAAGATGAAAAGTTTAGATGGAATGTATTTTTTCTTTTACATGATATACATAATATTGTCTCTTAGAATTTTATTAAATCCACCTCAAAGAAATGGTTTTTAAACAAATCAAGAAGTTGTGTCAAAAAATGCTTAAAAGAATCATTAAATACTAAAAAATTGAGTTTTTTTTAATTTTTATTTTTATTGTAGTAGTTTCTCATTTGACCTAATAATAAAACCTATTATTTAATCACATATTAGAGCTTTTTATAGAACCAAATAATGAGATTTAGTATTCAATCATATATGAAGACTTCTTTTTAAATTAAATAATAAATCCTAATTTTAAACCATATGTACTATCTATTAATTTTAAAAAATCAAAATTTATTTTCTAAAAAATGACGAAAGAGGAATTTTAATGTTAGAAATAGTAATAAATTAAGAAATTTTAATTTTCAAAATATATATTAAATATTTTATAAAAAATAGTAAATTTAATAATGCTGACATAATTTTTAAAAATAAGTAGATAAACATAGTACATTTTTTATACTTTCTATATTGATTTATAAAATATTAGATTTTCGTCTACCAGAGATGATTAAAAAAATCTTTACATAAGATTTTGAAAGAAGGCCTTAATCAAAATGAATCACTTTTCTATAAATTTTGAAGTAAAACAAGTTTTAGAAAAAAAATAAAGAAGACTTTAAACTTGAAGTTTTTCTAACATACATAAAGAATAAGGTTTTAAAAATATAAATTTTTAAATCCATTTATTTTAGACTTGTAAAGTTATAAAAGCATAAAACTTAAAATGAAGGATTTACACTTTGAAATATGAATAGATGTAGGTTGGAGAAATATCTAGCAAATTAGCTGAAAATCTTGATAATAAAAAATAATTAATATATTGAATAACTATAAAATCATTATATAAGATGTTATAAAAACTAAAAAATTCTTCAAAAATATTTCTTATTAAAAATAAAGAATATAAATTCACAAAAGTAAAAAAATATATATTAGAAATGTAAATCCTTTGAAGTGACTTTAAAATAAATAAAAATAAAAAAGAACTAGCTATCTCTTACACCAACTTTGAGTCTTAGCATTCAAAAAAGGACTATAATTTTCAAAACACAATAAAATATTTTTTAGAACATATATACAAAGCTAATTAGTCGTTTTTTCTAAATAAACTAGTTTGTACTAAATATTGGTATTATGAATTTCTTAACGATATATATTTAATCAAAAATCCAAATTTGTATTTAAGTATTGGCCTATTTTCTTTTAAGATTGAAATGAAATTATCTTTGATGTTTTTTTTGTCTTAAATCAATAAATAAACCAAATGTTTGATTCAAATATTAAAAAATAAAAGTTTTGAATTATTAATTATAAAAAGACGATTAAACTACTCTCATATCACTAGTAGAATTTGCCCATAACGGTATCATATATATATATATATATATATATATATATCTGTTTTACAATTAGTGATAATATATGAAAATCCAATTTTAATATTAAGATCAATCAACCTTCTATCAAGTTGGAATATTTAACATTTAGACTCTTTTTCATCTATAAAACACATCGATTCAATTGCATATTGATTGCAAATATTAAAACCAATCAAATATTGGTACATGTGGCATATAAAAACACAACAAACTTGATACTACAACCATAAAAATGAACAATTGCTTTTGTTTTCATTAAAAGAAGTGGTTACGACAATAAAAACAGCCCCTAAACCGTTATAAAAAGCTCCGAAATGACGGTCAGACACCAAAGTAGTCATTATGTACAAAACACGGGGCTTCAGTGATGATTCAACATGTTCATATTAGACCACACGTTTTACTTTCTGATACAATCTAGCTTATTTGCTACTGTTTTCCTTCTTGACAAACCTCTATCCATATAACCACATTTTTGTTTACAAGTGTACTTTCAAAAACGTTACCCATTTACTACGTGTCAAGTTTTTTTTTATGAGATATTACAACTATCATACATGTAAATACAGGTCGACACCTTCCATCACCTCCTTGTCACATAATATTTCTTTGGAACCACTCCAAGTCCAAAATCCGTACCAACAACCCGCTGAGCACAATAATCAAAACCCCATTCATTCACAAACAAAACACTTGCTATGCACCCAATAAGACCAACGAAAACATGGCATTCCTTCACATGCTGCGTTGTAGTAATTCAAAAAATTAACTTCATCAACCCTCTCTACCGCAACCCAGACACCACAGCCAGACCTGCATATTTTCAACCTGCATCTCAAATACCATGCACCACGCTTCCGCTTCTCTCCAAGAAGATTCCCTACCATCACTTCTCCAATCCGATTCACATTCGTTCCAGCCTTCATTCAGCTCATTCATCCCATTCATTTGCCAACAACTTCCAAACTGACCAGATCGAAATCGTAGTTGTACTCCATCGCATTCATCCACCCCAAATTGTCACACATCCTCACCTCCGTAGAAGCTGGACACCCGTTAATCAGCTGCTACGCATTACAAACCGCTTTGTTGAACTGATGCATGCCTCAAGGTGCACATCCACCTCGCGTGCCACGACTCCCATGAAATCATATCATCTCATTCACTTCGTCACGACACGCTCAGACACTCATCACAACCCACACATGCCCACGCGGCTTCGAAGGCAGTCCTGTTCAACCCACCACAAAACCTCTCCACCGGTGGCTCCTTGCCCTGTTCTGCCATACTAGCATCTCTCCGACCTCTCACCTCTGAGCTCCAACTCAACAAACACTCACCCCAGCGGCCCAACCACCGACACCAGACGTCTGGAGGCAGTGACCCGATGACACCCACTCTTCAAGGAGTAAAACCATCGCACAAATCATTCCGCCTCTAACATTCATCCAATCATAGTAACAACAGGTGCACTTGCACCGCTGGAGTGCCACCCAACCATTCTCACATCTTAACTCCCAGCGTACCACTGACCCACGCTGCCGTTCATGTGCCCGTTTCCGTGCACGCCCATCCCACTCGCCATCACGGAAGGCATCCCCACCGCAATCGACGCTGGACTCGCATATATCCCCAAACCCGGACCAAGTGGAGACTGGTTCGTCATGGCTGCCATATTCGCCATAAGCTCCCCACCCCCTGCCCCTCTTTGCTGCTGCAGCAACCGCACCGCCC